GGCGCCAGTGAGAGAGAGAGAGAGAGAGAGAGAGAGAGAGAGAGAGAGAGAGAGAGAGAGAGAGAGAGAGAGAGAGCGAGAGAGAGCGTCAGTGAGGAGAGAAGGGGGGAAGGCTAATGCTACTACCTACGCCGACATGGTCGGGCGCGGAGAGCGTGCGCACGGGACGTCCATGCGAGACGCTGCGTGTTAGGTTCGCCCCGCGCGTCGCCGATGTTTGTTTGTAGACGGCGGCGACCTTGAGCGATTACGTGTGTCGTAACGCCCGCGGGGTCGCCGCGCCTGCAGCGAGGGGCAGCCGTAGTAAGGCGATTACGAGGCGAGTACGCGCACCGCAGCGCCGCGTGGTGGCCATCGTGCTGGCGTAGAGCGTGGGGTGACTATGAAGGGGATATCATTTGCGCGTTAAGTAACGAAGAAGATTTACTTTCAAAAAACGGACGAGCCGAGCAGACGAGGGCACGCAGACGTATTGAGTGTACGACTGTTCACAGTAAAAATGAATATAGATCTCCCTCTCGTGGCCAGCGCTGTCATTTGTTACAAGTATATCTCTCGTCTGCCCGGCTCGACCGCGAATTTTTTTAGCGCGAATCTTCTTCCATACAGTTTCATCGTGAAGTTTGAACGTGTTGGCTGTGATTTAAATTAAAATTATGCATACTGAATACATAGTACCATCAAAAAATGCAGAACTGCGATTGATAGCATTTACAATCACAGATTCAAACTACTAGTAATTCATATGATATCGACGCACGAAATCACGTAGAGAATAATAAAAAAAGGTCATATGTTAATTATTATCTATGCAGTTAAAAATAATTATCATCCCTATCATGTGATCTCTACCTGGCATGAGTGCGCTACGATATCGTACTCGCCTCGATCAATGTGTAGATGGAATTCGGCGTAACGCGGGAAATACCAACACCGCAGCCACTCGTCGGCTCGCAATCAGAAGGCCGACAGTGCGAGAGATTCGGCCTGTCGTGGCTCCGCCCACGATTTTATTGCTACGGAATAATTCATCGTAGCTACATCGTAAAGAGACGGCTGATGTATGATCGATGACGACGTGTCCGCGCATGTAAGCGTATGTCTACAGCCTTGTTCTCAGCAGCAGTTCTGTGGTTGTACTCGCGTCGCACGAATGCAGGCAATATTTGGATCGTTTTCAACCGCCGCATGAAGGCGCACGCGCGTGCGCACACACTTGTTATTACGTCACGGGGCATCAGCTAGCGTGAGCTGTGTGATGCTGCTGCTGCTGCTGAGTCAGCCTGTGGTACTCGTGTACGCGATTAGGACGTCTGCAGTCGTACTGACTGAAATTGAAAGTTGAATTTGAGCCGTTGAAAGCGTGCTGCGAGCTGTGCGTTGGTGGGGGAGGAATTGGTGGTTAATTTAAGACGTCTGGTAACGACAGTCAATGATCAACGGGGTTTCACGAGCCAGGGAGGTTTGGGTAGACAGACACGAGGGGCTGTTCGGCAAAGGCCGGTGTAAAACGCCATGTTGTGCGAGAAACGTAAAAGCGATGTGAATGCTTGCCTGCCGCAGCTCCTCGCCAGGTGGAGCAATCGAAAGAATGACTCATCACGCGCGCGCGTATATCCTGAGAGCACTTACACCCGCGTTACGGGCTATAGCGTTGAGTAAAGACCATGACTCAGATCTATCGGAGTAGTGGGTGGTGTGCACATCAGCCGTGGTGTGTAGACGTTTTACACACGCTGTAAATATTTGTGTGCAGAAACCGAGCACACAGGTGCCTGGCCGGTGTAGTATGGGGTGACACAGGTGTAGTAGTAACACGGGGGCTGGCTAGCCGAGCCGTGTTTGTAAATATCTTACCCGTAACACATCGTGCCCGGGTAGCAGCATAGTGTTAATCTGAGATAATGTTTTAACGCGCTCTTGAATTATATAATTATGCATTAAAGTAAAAGAGTAATCGCGAAACATGAGTGTTCTGCTTGCCATTTTTCATTTTTCATTTTGTCATTTGACAGAACCGTGTTTTTAAATTGTGTGTTATTTTTGGTCTCTTTGTAGTTGGGACGTGATTGGTACCTCCTGATTGCTGTGGTCAGCTGCGCTATCATCCACTGCAAGGATCTCGTGCGGCCTTCGCCCTGCCCTCAGCGATGACGTCACCAGTGACCTCAGCCGTGACCTCAGTGATGACGTCAACAGTGACTTCAGCCGTGGCCGTCACCCGAACGTCGACTGATTGGGCAGGCAGAGCCATCCCCACACAAGACGAATCACATAGTCAGCGATAATCCCCAAGTTCTTTGCATCTCTATGCTCAGGCGACTGCTGCTAAATTTTACCCCTCCCCTTGCAGCTATGCCCCACTTTTTATAGTTCTTATAAACGCTAAGTCTGCTAACCGTAAGCACTCGCTACTCACACTCTCTCATTCGGATAATTCTTGAGGTACTGAGCAGGGTTTCTATTGTACTTGTACCTATAATTTAAACATTACAGCGCTTGCTTTTTGAGCTGAGTGTGAAAGAAGATGGGAACAATTTGGGGCCTAATATCCGATCTCGTGGTATTATACATATATACATATTTATATAAATACACACATATGTATATATATATCTAATTCACCTAATAGAATACATGTGTGTGTATGAAGAAGAGTCTGCGAGTGGGTGAGTGTGCAGACGTGTGCGTGGGTGATGTTAGTGTGCGTGTATTATACACTGTTTGTATATGGATGGGCTTTGTGTATTTGTATCGTGGTAATATATAAATATATAATTTGTACGTATACGTTTATCAGTATAGTGTGAAATCAAAATATTAAGTGTAGAGATGTTTTCTTTTTTTGTCAAATTAAGGAGCCGTACGTGTACATAGCTGTTTGTATTTGATCTCATTTGATGCCAAATGAGCACTGCTTTGGAACGGTTTGTTGGCAGCAATTTCGTCTGCTGACCGCGATTAAGCGTGTCCGTTTCCTGACAGCACAGGTTCTATATCCATAACACCCGTGTGCCCTCCTTAAAACACTAAGAAAGCAGTGCTCTATTGTCATGGCCTCGCGTTTGTACAGCGTGTGAGTGAGTGAGTGAGTGAGTGAGTGCGTGCGTGCGTGCGTGCGCGCGTGCGTTCGTGCGAGCGAGCGCGTAAGTGAGTGAGTGAGTGAGTGAGTGAGTGAGTGAGTGAGTTAGTGAGTGAGTGAGTGAGTGAGTAAGTGAATGGGTGCGTGAGTGTGTGGGTTGATGAGTAAGTGAGTGAGTGAGTGAGTGAGTGAGTGAGTGAGTGAGTGAGTGAGTGAGTGAGTGAGTGAGTGAGTGTCTGAGTGAGTGCGCGCGCGCGCGTGTGTATGATTGCGTGCGTGCATGCGTGCGTGCGTGTGTATATATATATGAGTGGGTGTTGTTTCATGCCAGCTACGTGGTAGACTCGACGGTGCGTTACTTGCGAGCGTCCGTTACGAACACTGACGCGATGGCTGAAACAACGTGTGCAAACGTCTAATTGTGCGTGCGTGCGTGCGTGCGGGCGTGCGTGCGCGCATGCGTGCTATGTTCTAATGCTGATCGGGTTGGGAGGAGCGTGGTGTTATGGAGTATAACATGTAACCATCATTAGCCCCGTATAAGTCCCACCGATAAAGCATGTGACGTAGAGGCGGTCGGCCCAGCATCCACACTACCCTACCCTACCCTACCCTACCCTACCCTACCCTACCCCTTACGGCGCTACCTGTCTACCCTAGCCGCTACCCACTACCCTAGCCCCAGTCGGCTACCCTATCCTAGCCTACGGCGACCATACCCTACCCATTATTCTTCTACAGACCTACACTACCACTACGGTTACCATAGGACACTACCCTACCCTACCTTACCGCCTACGCTAGCCCTACCTCTAGCGGCCTATTACTTTCTACACGCTTACAGCTATATCTACCCGTAGCCTAGGGCCACCCGCCATACCGCATGCCCCACCCTAACCCTACCCTAACCCTACCTAGGCCTACCCTACCCTACCCTACCCTACCCTACCATACCATACCATAGCTCTCTCCACCCTACATACTAAGGCGCTAAGCCGCTACCTATCCATACACGACCCTACATACCATACCATAACTCCCGCGCTAGACCCTACAAACATACTGCCGCTACCTGACGTTAACGTTGTCGCGTACGCGTGCGCGCAAACGTTGATTAATTTATTTCGTACGAATTTGTGCATCTTTGCCGGACAGCAGAATCGTGTTGTCGGGTTGAGATATATCGCAGATGATATTTAATTTTACGCCGATCGATGCGGGCCTTCTTTAGAAAGAGAGTTGCAGCTTCCCTATGCGATATAGGTGATCTCATGAGTAAAGTTGTACGCCGCCGGTTCACGGCCGAGTGAGTGCCCCACTCGAACCTCTGTCGATATATAACACTCCGACGGCCGAGAGACTCGCATCGCGCAGCGTAATGTGATGTGTATATATGTATAAGCGTCGGTTCGCGTTCTCGGTATGCTTAACCTCGGCCGCTGTTTGGCCTTTCTCCGGCGGCGCCGTTGTGTGTTTGATTGACCCAGAACGTTACGCGACGCTAGCTGGGGGTTACTATATACTATGTTCGCTCCCCCCCCACCCACCAGCTCTGCTTCTGACGCGCACGGCTTGTGGTGTCACAGCCGGTCGCAGGACCGTGCAGCGAGTAGAGTGGTTTTGCGTGTTCGCCCGGTGGTGTTGTCGTCGTTCGTTACCCGTGCGGCGTGCAGCGGCTTCGTGATCTGATAGACGCTGGTCCGTGTGCGTGCTGCGGTAGCACGGTGCCTAACTGGCGCAATATAGTGACACACACAGACACAGGCGCGCCGCGCGGCAGGCGCGACGTACGCACACACGTACGACAAGACACGGCACGCAGCGGCTACGGCACGCGACGCAGCGCACGCACGGCACGCAAACAATAACGCTAATGCACAACATACAGCCCACACCCCTCCCACACACACAGCACACAACGCGCACGCACTGTAGCACCACGGCACACGTACCACCGCGGATTAACATCGATTTGAACGCTCCGACCGCCTCCACGCACTACTATCGGCGTCACCGTACTAGATCGAACCATACTCGCAAGCAAGTGAACTCTCACGAAGAATACGCGTGTAACCTACGATTGACTACACTAAAGCGTAGCCGGTGTTGCCCACTGACGCTATACCGATGAGCGAAGTATGGGATAGCGCATATGTATGTATATGCTCCCGCCGTCTACTGGTTGTAGTGCAACGTTCTACTCCGGCGTAATTATGAAGATGTATATGTTATGTATAATTAGGTTATCCGTTTAGAAATTGTACATATAGATATACATTGGCCCAGCGCGGCTCCACCGTAATCATGTGGCGTGTCATAGTAAAATAAATAAAAAGTTATATAAAATATTACATCTTGTTGTGTATTCGTAAATTCGATGTTACCTTATATTTTAACGGCGTGTGAACGTATCGTTCACGAATCATAGAGATGAAGTAGATATAAATATATGTAAGACCTCTGCACACAACATTTTACTGGACACAGTATTTTACGTACAACACAGATGTGACCATGCGAGTCACAAGTAAACTTGTTCAATTATCATTTTACCAAACATGATAAATACGTAATATGTAAAACCCGAAAATATATACATATTATAAAACATCTAAGTAATAAACGAGAACAAGTAAAGACATGTCCATATCAAGACGTAACATGTAAATCCCAAGACGAACGTGTGAGTAACACACCACAGAGCGTGAAAATAACATACTTACAGTATGACTAATACGTAAGATATAAAACCGAAAAATCTATTATAAAACATCTACATAACAAGCGAGAACAAGTATAAGACATGCCATTTTGTTTGTTGTTTATCAATCAAGACGTAACATGTAGATGACAAGAACGAACGTGTGAGTAACAAGTCAGAGCGTGTAAATAACATACTTAAAGTATGATTAATACGTAAGATGTAAAAGACCGCGAAAATATATCTTCATAAAACCTCGTACTAACACGCGGAGATACAAGTACAAGACATGTCCATATCAAAGACGTTAAGCATATGTAGATACAAGAACGAACGGCGTGAACGTACAAAGTCAGAGCGTGCAAATAACATACTTAAAATATGATTAATACGTAAGATATAAAACCCGAAAATATATATGATAAAACATCTACATAACACGCGAGAACAAGTAAGGACAAGTCCATATCAAGACGTAACATGTAGATGACAAAAACGAACGTGTAGAGAACACGAACAACACAGAGCGTGCAAATAATATACTTATAGTAAATATGTAAAAGAAGGCTTACCGGTGTTTGCATTGTGGATTCACAATAGGGTAGCAAAAGGGCAAGTTTCCCCTCCCCCCCATACTCATTCAAAGCTTCCAACAGCTAGCAGAAATGAGATTAACATCGAGGCAATCGTAGGGCATGAGTGAATAACAGATAACCTGTATCATGCACTCGTGACACCGTGCTTCCTTTATCCATCGTATATATACTGCGTGCGTACCGTTTCAATGGTAAATGTTCTAGGTTTCTCGACCAGATATTACTATCCATGCAGGCAACTATAGCACTGGAAAACATTTTATATCACAGAAATGTCAACGACCGCGAGTCTAATAGAAATTTATAAATATATGGTAGCCGACGCAATGGGAAAGCCACCGGGCATGACAGCATTGTGTCTCACAGACGCTAACACAACTTGATGCATGATTTCGTATAGATGCATGGCATTTCTGGCCACACTTGTGTGCGTGTGTGCGTGCGTGTGTGCGTGTGTGCGTGCGCGCATGTGTGTGTCTACATCGTGTTCGTCGTGTGCGTGCGTGTTACCTGTTGTACGTGTTGTTTCTGTGTCTATGTGTGTAACCGTGTGTACGTACCTGGTCTATGTGTGTGTGCCTTGTGGGCCTGTGCTTTGCAGGCCATAAACGTGTGGTGTGCGTGGTTGGTGTGTGGCAGCAGCCTTACGTGTGTGCGTGCGGTGCGGCATGCTGTGTATGTGCGCGCGCGCGGCGCGCGTGTGTGTCGTGTGTGTGTGTGGTGTGGTGTGTGGTGTCGGTGTGTGTATGTGTGTGTGGTGGTGGTGTGTACGTGGCTGCGTGCGTGCGAGCGCGGTGTGTGTACGTGCGTGCCGCGGCGCGGCGCGCGTGTGTGTAAATCGTGCTTGGCGCGTGTGTGTACGTGGCATGCGTGCGCTATGTATGTACGTGCGTGACGTGCGTGCGCGCGTGTGGTGTAGCGTGCGTGCGTGCTCGCCGCGTGTGTGTACTTGTTGCGTATTACGCCTTCCTCATTGGATCATCAGGATCTGACAGCTCACGTGCTTAAAGCTCACGACTCGCTGCTCGCCGTGTGCGGCGCGTTATCGCGCCATCTTTCTAAAGCCACCCTGCTGGGAATGTTGAAGATGCCCGCCGACAATTACGCAAAGGTTTGCCAAAAACCGGCCACGGATTACGCTCGCAGCGCGAAGACAGGCAGGATCCTGCTAGGGTTACTGACCACACGCCTAGCAAGGCTGTTCGTCTGCCCCAGGTCACTGACTTCCCCCCTCGATGCCACATCCGGCAGGCGCGTGCGCATGCGCCGAGCGCTCGTAACGCTACACCTCTGTGTTGGCAGCGCCTCGTAAATACGCGCGGAAGAAACAAATTCCGCCCGCCTTCTGCGCGCACGTGTCCACTAATAAGATGGCGTTGGTGCAATTCATGTTGGTTTATGCATGGACGGATACGGAGTATACCCAATGGTGCCTGATAGAGTAAATTGGCGAGGGTGTGTATAGGAACAAGATGAATTGGCGAGTATCTGACCGGTTGCGGCATAACAATGGCGCGGGCGCGTGATTACGATGTGCGCGCATTTATGGTATTACGTGTGTGTGTGTGTGTGTGTAGTGTTGTGTGTGTGTGTGTGTGTGTGAGTGGTGTGTTGTGTGGTGTGTGGTGTGTGTTGTGTGTGTGTGGTGTGTGTGTGGTGTGCGCGCGCGCGTGCGCGGTGTGGTGTGTTGTGTGCGTGTCCTGGTGCGTGCGTGTGTGCGGCCGTGCGTGCGCGCCTGTGTGCGTGCGTGTGTGCGTGCA